AGTAATTTCCTTTCACTTATATAATCGAGATTCTCCAAACTTTACCCCTCTCCCCGAGAAGGGTAAAGGAACGAACAGCTCAATTAAGTACCGCCTCCGTGGACTCCTTATCCTAACACGTTGCACAGCTGTAGGACGAAGGGACCAGCAGCCCGCGGAGGTAGTGCCTAACTGAGGAGTTCTTCCTCTACTTCCTACCTCCCCCCTCCCTCGAAAATGGTCGCGAATTTTTGAAAGTTACTTGCATGAGTCTTCAAAATATTTATACCTACAAATTTCTTAGAAAATTCTAAATAACCTAGTACATTTTTTTGAGGCGTGGATGCCGCCTCGGGGTTATTGGTCCACAAAAATTTTGGAAAGCATCAAAAATTGTGCTGAAACTTTTCTTAAAATCAACCAGTGTCGCTGACTTTAGATATGAACTATGCATCTTACTCTAGTCTCTCATTTAGAAGTTCTAGCAAAGTACTGTGACAAGTGTTTTCTCGATGTTCCAGATTATGACCACCCCATATAACAGCTTTGCCTGCAAAGTCAATCTTGAAAACGGGCATGAAAACGCGTTTGTGAACGTTTTCAGATCCTTTTTATTGGAATGTCAGCCAATTTATAATGGAGTTAAGTGCTATAAATCCTACCGTAACCCTGAAGTAGAAAAGTGAATCATTGGTTGGTCTTGCACTGTAAATTCAAGCTTGACTAGCTACGCAAGGTGCTCAAAATTCCACGAAGGCAATAAGAGCGGAGAAAAGTCATGTTGTTATTTATAAACCCTCTCCTTCCTCCTTCGAGAGACTTTTTGCTGTCTATTATGCAAGGGAGTGTACAGTTTATCAGAGTACATGGATTTTTTAAGCGCCTTTCCAGTGCCAGAGAACGTCACCTGTAAACAAAAACAAACAATTTATTGTCTGTCCTTCCTTTCGCAGCAGACTCATTAATCTCTAAATTGCCGTCTGTTTGTGTATTGCCTTCAGAGTCACTTCTACACACGACCACCCGCAGTTCATATTTGCAGATATTCGGTTTGGACGAGTTCTTACCCAAAACGGCTGCTCTAGGCAATAATCTTTATGTTGGGAATTGTATACTGCATGGAAAAGATGTCAAGCTAGAAGTAAGTTCACGCATGCTGACTCCACGGGTCCACATGACAAAGTAGAAGTCTTGTTATTTAGATTGGACGCTTTGAGCCTTCTTTCGTTCGCTCCGTCAGCCCATCACCGCCATGGGAGAAAATGAAGTATGGGAGTTTATGTGCATTTTCACTGTGTGAGCTACATGTTTGTTTAGGGCACAGTTCAAGTATTCTTCCATACTGGACAAGGAAGACATTGAAAACATGATCGTACATCTCAAAGCGGAAATGACCGAGTATGAGAATGCTTTTCATTCATCCTCCACCCTGAAAAGTTAGTGCACAAGGTTTACGAAAACAAAATTGTATTTGTTGTTCTAATTATGCTGCTTCTAGTTTCTTCCACTTCCAATAAAGTTCGGCAGTGTGTGAAGATGCTGTGCAAGCTCATAAATTCCATTGAACCTATAAATCTGCACCAGTATCTTCAAAACTACCTGACGGCGGCTACCAATGTAATTACATCATATGTCTGGTTAGTGCTAACAGGTCGAACAAAACTAATTGCAGGATCAGTTGCGATGCGCTCGGAATGACTTTATTGCTTCATTGCATGGGCTCATCTCTGTGTACTGTAATTGTACACTTAGCTCTTATAAACTGGCTCCGTTGAGGGTAACTTGCTATATTTAACTCATTTTCTGCTTATTACAATACAAATTCTAGCCCGTGGTCAAACAGAAGAAGGAGATTTTGCATTGCAAAGAGAAACTCAAGGTTATGGTGAACTCTGTGCATAATCTAGTGGAGAACTGGATGAGGTGAGTGATTGCTGTATACCTGAGTATTAACATGCTTATTTTTTAAGGGATTATACGGAATTTTTTGTCACCGTTAATGTGTACTATGGAACTCAACTTCTGGCTGGTCATAACAAGTGTATATCAAAAACTGTCAAACACGATGCCTTCTTCCCATATATTCCTATGAATGTCTATGTGAGTTCATATCGTTGTGAGACTCGTATGTCATACATCACAACGAGTTGAAGTATTGTGATTTTTGATATGATGACTGTCATTTGCATTGTGCAATGACTATTTACAGGTTTGCTTTGAAGATGTATTGTGTACATGTCCGAGGGAGACGAAAATTATGTTCATTCTGTCCGGCTATTCTGCCGTGCCCAATGCGGGCGCGGATGGAAGTTCTGATAATACACGCCGGCCATTAGCATTCGCATCTCTGCCTCTTTTTGACCACGAGATGTGAGATTTTATGTTATCTGCGTGCTAATCTTCAATGCTTCAAAGATTTTGTTTTGAAAAAGAGCTGAAAGCTTTCAGGTTGTTACGTCAAGGACAAGTATTCGTGCCCTTGTCGGTGCTCAAGGAGCCTGTGCTGAAACCGTGGGGTCCAAATCCTCTTATTGCCAACGAAAAGGATCCTATTCTTATCGTGACGTTACCTTCTTACGAATACCAAGTGGTGTTCCCTGATGTCGCTGTTGAGTATCAAAGGTGTGCTTGATTTTTCATGCTGTTCTTCCTACACCTTACATGAAAGTACTTGTAGTATCAAACAAGATCCATCGTCGTTAGATAGCGAAACACAGGAGTACTTGATGAGCTTGGTCGAAGCTGGAGACCCGCAAACGTAAGTTCTGGGA